GCTAAGTTCCTGAGCTGGCCTTGAACTTGCAATCCTTCTGCCTCCATCACCCAAACCATTGGGATTACAGGCGTATGCTACCATACCTGGCTGGAGCACTTAATTTTTACGGTCAAGTTTATGAATATTTTTGGGGCTTTTGGTTTTGCGTTATGGCTAGTAAGGGCTTTTCCCAAAATTAGAAAATGTTCTTGAGAGTTTTCTTGGAGAATTTATAGTTTAATCATGTTTAAATCATTGATGCTTCTGAAATTTGCTTTGGGAGTAAGAAGTGAGGTGTAGGGGAACTAGCTTTAAGTGTGTTGCTATTTTAATGAATCACTGAAGAGAAGGAAAAGTGACAGTATCCTAATGGTAGTGACAATGAAGAAAAGAATTTAAAGATTCTCTGGAGGAGAATGTGATTTCCTAATATATTCTGGTTAGTCTCAGGAGTTCTAATTGATTTAATAATAGAAACAAATAACAATTTGGACGTTTAGGCTTTTAGGATTCCTAACTTGAACTGGAGATAAAGTCAAAGCTGCTTCTGCAGAAATTAGTAGTGAAAAATGAATTTGGTCTTAATTTGACACCCAGCTAACTGTAGGATCACTGCTTAATTATCCTGGTAATTAGGAATATATACTAAGTCATCTTTTGTTTCTTCATTTTCTCTAGGCTGATCAGATTCTTCCCCAGTACAGTATAGACAATACTGTCCTAGTAATTTCTTCTAAAGACTTTTCATTTAAAATGGGGTGTTCTCTGGAACAAACACTAGGCATGTCGTTCCAACTCATTTAGCATTGTAGGATAGCCAGAACTCGGGATCGGAGAAAGACCGGTCCAGCAGTCTGAAACACACTTGTTACTCCCTGGTGAGGGTTTCCTTGATCCAGAAGTGAAATGAGAAAAAGGAGGCTTTGTTCCCAAAGCCACCTGTATTTCATACAAGACTACTTTTTCAGGTATTGAAAAATTAGAGGATTAAAAATATATTTTCAGTGCAAAAGATATAGAATATTGATCAGTCATTTTAAAATTTCAGATGGATACAATACTTACACGATAAAATACACTCTCAAATGTAAATTGAGCATGTTTTAACACATGCATACAGTTATGTAACCACTATAATCCCAATTCCACCATTCCCCAAATTTCCTTCATTAACTGGTTATGGTCACTCCTCATTGCTCTAAACACTCTGCAATTACCACCACTGACTGACTTCTTGGCTGTAGTTCTGCTTTTTCTAGAATGGTCTAGAGGTAGAATTGCATGGCTTTTCAGACTACTTTCATGTACAAAAAAAGCTCTGAATTTCATTCATGCAATTGCATTTATCAGTAGTTGACTTTTTTTTTTAACAGGTGCTATTATTTCTTTCTTGAAAAAATTAAAAGTAGATAACACTAAATCAGTTCCTGGCCTTAAATAAATGTTGGTACTTGGAATTTCAAGGTCTGTTTCTCTAGTCCAGCTCCTTGTGACGTGCACATGAAGGAATCTGTGCAACTGAGCCTGGAACTTGGACCTTCTGGTTTCCTGATCTTGCTTTGACCTCACAGATGCTGCTTAGGCTGCCATGTGCTTCTCTCCCTGGGTGGTGGGGGTCCCATTAGGAGAACTTCTGCTTCTAAATAGAAACTGCCAGTCTTTTTTTTTTTTTTCAATGTCAATGGATTATCCTGTGGCTTCTAGTGTTTGAACTGCAGTTGCCAGATTTTGAGATCAGTCTGCTAGGAGGAATAAAAAACTGATTTTCTCTGAAGACATTATGAACAAAACAAAACGTCCTGGGTTTTACAATTTTATTTTTTGTTGGAGCCTAGGGGTCGAATCCAAGGCCTTGTACATGCTAGGCAGGTGCTCTGCCTTTGAGCCCACTCTAAGCCCATTCCCAAAATATCTTTTTTTTTTTTTTTAACTGCAGTATAAAAATTAAAATAGCATGGAGTCCTGCATTGGCTAGGAGAGTTTTGAGAGCCATAAGGGCATCCTCAGAGTTGAATGTGTGGGTGACTCTGGAAGTATCCAGTGTAGGAATTGGTGTCCTGTCACTTTCATCTAGCATCCTAATGGTAGTGACAGTGAGGTGGGTGGGGCTAGAAAACTTCTAGGACGGGACATAGTGTCTGAGGAACTTGAGCACTGAGGGTGGGACAGGAGCTGGCCTGTTGGCAGAAGTAAGGGGAGTGATTACATTGTGTTTGGGAGCTGCATCTACGATGGTATTGCTCGTCACAGTGGTCCTGTGAGGTAGGTAGTGTTGTCTCCTTTTTCCGAGTTTGAAGATGAGGCCAGCTGAGCTTAAATGATGGGCTTGAAGTCACAAGGTGGATAACACTAAGCAGAGGCCAGAGTGCAAGATACTTGATGCTACCTCTCCCCCATCTCCCATCCTAGCTTGGCAGCTGGTTAGAAAGGTCCATATCTTCTCCCACCCATGACTCCATATGTTCTTGTATCCTGGAGGTGAAAGCTCTGTGATAGGATGGCTCAGGTGAATACCTAATCAGAGGGACCCTTTGCCAGTCTTAAGTTGATTCTGATTCCAAATTTTTCTTCAATGATACTACTCAAAAGTAACATTGGCTTTTTATGCTGTTTTTGGGGTGTCTGTGCTGATGTGTAAGCTCTTCATACAAGGTGTTTTCGGCAGGTTCTAATGAATTTTAAGCAGGGTCCTCTGATTTTTGCCTGTGTTCTGACTTATGCTGTTGATTTAGAAGAAATATCAGGGGATTTGGAGTGAGAAGACCTCTGAATCCTTGCTCTGTCAGTTGTGTTGTGTATTCTGACATTGTCTCCTTGTCTTTGAAAATGGTTGACAACAGCTCTCTTCTGTCTCGTAGGTTGTAGGCTCACACAAGGGAGTGCAGGCAAAAGCTGTCGCCGATGTGGAGTGCTCCGAGGGGCTGGGGACTTGGGGAAACACAGATTTTTTTTTTTCAGCAAGGCTACTTCTTGGAAGTTCAGGTTCTCAGCTGCCCTTGTGCAATGACAGACTCTTCCAGGAATGCAAGTTTGCTCGCTAATCCATTTGTGGTTATGTGCCTGTCTTCAGAGAGGCCCCATCACTCTCAAGTGGTCTCATCCTAGAACTTGGGGTCATTCAAAATTAACAAAAGTCGATATTTGGGGGTGGGGAGGAAAGCTGTATGAATACAGAGCTATTTTCAACTTGCTT